ATACTTCAAAACTACCTAAATAACCACAAAATCCCCAAAATTATAAACCAACTAATCCAATTATCACACCAATCTAATTTGTATACAAAATATTAAGCTAACCATGCATGTACTATTTATTGCACTTATACTAATCGCAGGCTATCGGAGCTAAAAAATAATAAATCGGCGATATACCAGCCATTGTGTCGGATTGATACGAATGCAAATTAACGTTTATTATTAAACCTATTAATATTAATGGGATTTCGGTCATGTCGGGGAGTACATGTATAATTTTTGCCCGTAAGATAACCGGAACGAATCGCATCGATTGGCGCAATAAATCGATCGCGGAACGAAACACGTCGACGCGCGTTTAATTCCTATTCATTTCGGGCATAAGCAGATTTTATTTATTTTATTTCGAGCGATCCATTCGTCGCACAAACACCTACTTTAATTTTCATCAGCGACGAGGAAAAATGTGTTGCACCTCGCCCTGTTTTCCAACCCATACAGCACTGTATATATCCATTATTTATGGAATGCAAGCGCCCTATCAGATGGTTTCTCTCTGATATATGGCGACTACCAATTTCGTTTAATTGAATTGCCACCGCAGGTCACTGTATCTCTAAGCAAAATTTGTAATCCAATAAACCAACTCAAAATAGATACATCGACATAAAATATACAGTGACTTCATAAAGTTATTTTACCCACGTTACTAATTGAATTTAAGTACATAATACTGATGCTTTATTCCGTATACCTACCAATACATATATGTATTTTCTGTTGCATTATATAAAAAATATATAGGGGTATTAAACTTTTATTTATACCACTCGTGCAATATAAGTTGTCTAACCTTATGAGATGTTATTAAAGCAATGTATATTGCATCAGTTAAAGTATAACAGACTATTAAAATTAGAACATCTAATATACATATAGTGCGTAAGTATTATAGATTCTTTAACTTTAATTGGCATTAGTTTAATATCGATTCCATTAATAATTCAAGCGTTTCTTTCTCCGCCATCGAATCGGAGCGATCGAATTAAATCCAATCCGAGTAATTGGCCGGTCAATAAAACGCAAACATTACTTAATACTGATTTATCGCGCCCGATCCGTAATAATCGCTAATCAGGAACGCGCTCTGACGGAGATTCTCACCAATTCCGGCCCGGAGTTCGTTATATTTTTTCTAATTGATTTACGACGCCGAAATCGATTCGAATTAGTGCGGGCCCGGTCTTCTTTTCTTCCTCTCTAATAATCGTAATTCTCGTCGCCGCATTAAATAGGTTAAAAGATGAATTATCGGGGGCGAGCACGAGAGGGCTAGCTGGTTGATATATCATGCGTTTCCTTCGATTATCTAATTAATTACGAATCGAAAGAAACCGAATCGAACGGGAATAGGTGTATAATTGCGTCGAAAAGGGCAGGAATACGGCGAATGGCCTCGATCCATGCGATACAGCTGCCAATTAAAGGGTGAATTAAAGTGCACTATTTTATATTATTTGTTATGTTGGGTAAATCATCACCTAATTACAACTAAATATAGGTTGTGTATACATTCAAATTGGACGTATCAGATACCGATTAAAACCAAAAAAACGCCCTACATTACTTGCATAACGAAAAAATCTCCATCTAACGAAATATAAATCAAACGCCCCCTAATTACACGCTCCGGAATAAATAACAAGAAAGTGAAACTTTCGAAATGGAATTACGACGTCGTGCCGGCGGAACAGTTTTCATTTTAAGTATCGTTTATATTTTTACACCCACAAATGAGGAACCGCTAACGTAATCATTAGAACAACCCGGTAATTTACGAAAAATACTACTGATTTAATGGGGGCATTAGAAACTCTTTTCCAATCTAAACTACGTGTACATGTATCGATAAATTTCACAGGACCGGCTCTCTGCATTTCCCTTGCATCATCGAATTATTATATTTCATTTATCACTATACTACATTATTACAATTTTACCTACTCTACAGTGTTTTTTCGAATTATTGGAGAATATTCTTGCATTAATGTTCCCATTGTAATTTGATTACACAATTCAATGAGTTATACAAAGTAAGATAATTTAAATGACAGTGTTTAGAATGAGAAAGTTATTGCGTACAAATTTGTCATTAACTGTATAGGACCATTATCTAATAAATAATAAATTTTTCTTCGAAATAAATTATGTAGGTCCGATCCTGGGACTTTCATACAGATTTTAACGAGCTCCGAACAAACAAACAACATCGGCCTCCCATGAATATTTAATCCGTGTCGAATAATCCGGCCCCGAAAACACTCGTAGGCAACACTCCACGCCCATTATCAAAGTTATTAAATCATAGAGTGTATTTCAGGGCTCGTTATCGTGATTAGCGGAGTCCAGGCGGCCATTATCGCCCTCCCGGGGGTTTTCTCCCCCTTCTTTTCCCGCGCTCGCGCTCCCTCTCGCCGAGGGGCGGCGGCGCAGGGGCGGATTTCGACGGGGAGATTGGATTTGAAGCGTCGGTTCGTGAGAATCGAGTTCGGTTCTGTCTATTCGGCGGGTCAATTCGCGTTCGCAGTGTATTTGATAAACGTAAAATGGCTCGGAGACTAATTTGATGCACACCCCTCGTATATCGTCCCTCCGCCGTGCCCTTTATTCGGGATGTTGGTGTGTGTTGTAGTCGAGGGGAGATCGGGATTGTTAATCCGGCCAATGGAATCGAAATTTTATGTAAGCACACAAACAATTTTGCGAGATACTAAATAGAAGGGTCGGACGAGGGGGAAAATTTGCGAATTGATTCGATAGAGTGCGAGGGGTGAACGTTGTTGCTGTGAAACTTATTTTTGCATCCTTCGATTACTTTTTTTTGGTAAATTTTTTTTTAATTTCCATTGCGTAATTAACCTACCTTGTTTTCCGTATTACGCCGACTTAGTTCGAAATGACCGCGTTCATTAACCATAATAAGTTATTTTAATTAAAAGACTGCTATTAATTATTAACTCTTTAATGAATATTTAATAGACTTTTACTTTACATCTTTATAATTACAACTACAAACATGCTTGTACGTTTTGCACGATTTTTTTGCTTGTTCTCCGTGAATTTACCTAGCGGAGATTCTCGTGCCGGGGAAATTACGAAAACGTATTGCAATATGCGAAATTATTAGAATATTGTTCGAGTATTTTTCCCCGATACGATTGGCTCGTTCATTTAAATAAATTACTTTAAAATTACACATTCCTATAACGGGAGTAAAAAATTATTTACAATATATAATATTTAAATAAGAATTTTTCTTTACAAATATTTACAACAACGCTATACCTACAAATGTTTCGTAAATTATTGCTTTTCGTATTTTTATTTAGATAATCTAATTATTTACAAGTATTCTCACTTTTTCACCTACCTATTTAGATAAAATAATTGATTATCCTTCATTAAAAATTTAATAAGAAGCCCACATTCTAAATACACAATAAAAGCACCCCGTATAAATTATACGGGATTATTAAACTTTTTTAATTTCTGTAACATGAACATGCACGATATTAATCGACACCTCGTATCGTAAACCCGAGGATTATTAATGTATGAGACAATTTGTATGTATATTGCATAGTTTAACAACTCAATATACATAAATTAACATTAATCGTACGAAATAACATTTTGTAACGTGAAATCGACATTATTTTTGCTCGGCATAACGATAATTTTACGATATTCTTTTTAATTGAAATGCCTCCGAGTAAAAAGTTTTAGTGAAGAATAATCGGCTTTGACGTAGTGAAAATAAATAATTACGTGCGACAGGAGCGCTCCGCGACGTTTTCTCTCGCATATGAGATTATCGTGTATATGAAACGCTGCTATTTCAGCGGGATTCGAGCTGGGGAATCCCCCGGGAGCGCGCCCGCCCCGTAAAAAGTGTCCTGTACCACACAGCTCGCAATTGTGTTCAAATGAATGGTACATTAATACGGTTGTTGGGTTTTTTTTTCGTCGAACAAACCTCCGAGAACTGCAGAATTAAAGAAAACAATGCCCCAACATACTAAAAGGATGTCGCCGGCAAAAAAGCGGACCGACCACTGTTTAACAGTGCATACTTATTTATGCTTTCGGGATGATGAAGACGGGCCACGGATCGCGGAAAAAATCGAACAATATTGTCGATGAAGTTCAGAAATCTGGACAGAATTTTAGGTATTTCGTAGTCCGGTAGAAGGGGCTTGCGAAATGAGTTTAGCTCAGTGCAGATGAGGTTTTGAAGTGCAAAAAATAACTGACGGAAAAATCCTGATTGATTGGAATTAAAATATAAATAATTAACGTTCTCTATTAAAATTAAAAGTCGCTAATGAAGTGTTAATTTGATCGACGAAAAAAATATACCGTTTTTCATTTATATACAGCGTAGATACAAGTTTAACCATCACAATTTGTAAAATAAATAAATAAAAATCGTCAATATGGAAGCATAAAATTATCACCGATACGAATTGACTATTTCTGTAATTAAAAGGTGTTCTGTATTTAAACCAATTTATTTAATATTTTCCTTCTGTCGAAAAATAATTAACTATTATTGTTTAATGGATATAAATTCGTATGATTCGAATGCATTAAACCGATGAATGACCGATTAGCTTAAAATACTTTTAATTGGCTTAAATACAAAAATAATGATTAACATATTCGCAATAATAACAAGCTAAATGATGCCTTCCATTTAACTCGAGCAATTATGCACGCGGGACAACGTACTTAACACGAACTCTAACTTTGTAATTGCTATAATAAAAGAACACACGATATAAGTTTACTCCATTTATCCATACCGAACCGTTTCGTTTAATTAAAACAGAAATCGCCTCCTAATAGAACCGTACGCGCGTAATTAATAAAATTTTATGTACAAAAACCAAAAATAAAAAAAAAAAACTAAAAAAAAAAAATACAAAACCGCAACGACCCTACGAGCTGCCCTTGTCGTGCATCTCCTGCAACTCCTCCTCCTCCTTGGTCAGCGGTATGGTCGAGTGGTTGTACAACCCCTGGGCCATCAGCTGCAGCGCCAGCGGGTTCTTCTGGCCCGACGCCTTCTTGATCTTGGCCCGCTTGTTCTGGAACCAGATCTTGATCTGCGCCTCGTTGAGGCCCAGCTCGGCGCTCAGCTGCTGGCGCCGCTTCTCCGTCAGGTAGCGGTTCTCGGCGAACTCGTGCTTCAGCCGCGCCAGCTGGGCGCCGGAGAAGGCGGTGCGCGGCCGCTTCTCCTCCGCCGTCGCGCCCGTCACCGTCGACTTGGGGCCGCTCGGCTTCTTCGGGCGCCGCGTCCTCGGACCTGCAACCGCAAACTTACTGGTTACTCCCGGAGCAAGGGAGCTGTGGGGAGAGGAATTTAGGAAGCAGGAAATGTTTGGTCTATCTGTATAGATTGTTGATGGGATTTAATAGCAAACTACGGGTGGATCTATAGCTGGAATGTTTTGTTAAAGGATCTAATTTAAATAAGGGTATAGCAAAGTAACTAAATGTAGATAAGCCAAAATAAGTATAATAGTATATGTGAAGAAAATTATGCACATCAGCAGGATACTAGATAATTGTGAATCTTGGCACTTTGGTATAGAAGACAATTCCATTGGGACTAGCTAATAGAAAAGGAGACATTTTTGATTATAAAAACAGTACAATATTCTAGATTTTGTTAAAAAATTAATGTACTGTTTACGAAAAATAAGAAATAGATTTGTCTAAGTAATTGTACAGGAATATTCTTGGCCCTTTGGTATATAGAAGGAAATACCATTGGGACTCTTAAGTAGAAGAGATATTTGACTACAACACAGTACAATACAGAGTGTACGAATTCTTCCGCTGCAAGCGTTAGAATTAGAATCTCAATCAATACTATAAGATAGTAAAGAACAGAAACTTGTTTATCGGTTGCCGGCCGATATTAGAATTCGTCAATTCGCTTCGCTTCGTCCACTAGCGAATAGCGGGGATAGCGGGCGTGACTATTTCGTATGTTCTCTTTATTCCTTACATAGCAAAAGTTAAATTAGCTATCTCATTATTCTCATTATATGCTTGCAGCGGATCAGTTCGTACATACTGTATATGGAGAAGGAGCTTAGCAAGATATTCTAGATTGTGCTTAAAAAATTATTGACTGGTTAGGAAAAACAAGAAATAATTGTACCTATACAGGAATATTCTTGGCACTAGTAGAAGGAAATTCCATTGAAACTAGCTAATAGAGGAGATATGTTTGACGAAGAAACAACTAGTTTAAATGATATTCATTATAATAAAAGAAATTACAAGTGTTTGAACGAATCGTGCTGTATCCAATGAGATCTAATTGTATCGTCCATTCACAGCCCATAATAACAAAGTATACTCCTCATAGTTATTAGTGTTAATAAGTATACCCATCACTTATACATCTCGAGTACGTTTGAAAATTCGTAAACGGCATCAGTTTTGGTCGATTTTACAGCCGCCGGTACGTCTATTAATTTACGAGAGCCGAGTTAATACTCAATAACGGATATACTAAGACGTGAGTGGTGACAGTTATATTGGTACGTCGTCGACTCGTTCCGACAGTTTCGCAATTAGAAACGTCGCGAGCTCGTCAAGACGGTTGCGAAGCCAACGAAACGGAATTACATTCGTTATGCGAAACGTTTGTATTTCGCCCCCGAAGTCGGGGGGGCGGCGGCGTCGATGGTAAAACGGCATTAATTTGCGACCGCGTCCGGAACGTAAATTTTCCGCGTAACTAACGGCGGAAAAAACCGGCCGATAAATCGCTGAAAACGCTAATCGCCAGATCGGCTTCGTCGAAACGCAGAACTAATGCGCTCAGCGTTGCCCAGCGGTCACCTTAATTGAGAAGTACACATAAATATCGGCCGACAATTACCTTTTGCGTCCGACTAGTATCCGATGGAAGCGGAAAAAATCCACGGTTAAGTTGAAAAACAATAAAATTAATCGTGCTTTGCCTATCAACGGCATTCTTCTGTGTATCGTACTCGTGTAGGGATATGTATAACATAACTTAAAATATGTAAAGTGGATTTGTAAACAGCATCTCGACAACATATACACTCCTTAGTTTTATGAAACTCTTAAATTGATTTTATTTCAAATCCTCTATAAGATGCATCGATTAATCAATATAACCAATCGATCGGTAGCCATTACTTTACACTTATACATTGTGTGCAATGTGAAATTCCCTTCTCCTTCCACATCTTCGCTACCGCTTTTATATACCGAACAATATTTACCTTCATTTCTTATTACATTCTCCACCTCCTCGGCTCGTCGTACGATTGCGAGGACTGGCAAGTCTCTTAAGTTTTGCATGTAACTCCATAATTACTATTTCGCGGTCGACGAATACAATGGTTTCGTCGTTTTTTTCTTCTTTCGTTTGCAGCAAACCAGACAGACACTAATAGTATCGCCGTATGATTAAAGCGGTCTTTACTATATATAGCAGATTTAGAACGAGCTTGGATACCTTTCATTGCGAAGATAAAAATTCGTTCGGAAAACAACGTACCCGAGCACGGATTGATTATTATCAATCGCGAAGATAAGGAGGGTGCAATGCAAACGGCAATAATCTCCGACTCGGTTGCGTCTATACAGTCCCATTGAAAGTTTCCCCTTCGAGCATTTCGCTAATTTCATTTGCTTCGATTAGTTCGAGCGTCGGTTTCTTGCAAGTCACCGGGACGTCATCTCGGAAGCGCCGGAGGAAAAAGACGTGCCCGGAAGGTATCCCGTCGCATTACCGGGAGTTCATCAATCACCGATTCCCGTCGAAATCCCGTTTGATTTAAAACATCAGCATACGCCGGAGGAATAATTTTGTAAAAAATGCGAGCAGAAGAGGCGACTATAAATCGTTGGGGTGGTGGATTTTTGGGAATTTGCGGACCGGACAGCCGCGAAAATCCGATTCGGCAGGGTCGGGTAATTTCGAAAACGGGCCTGTCAAAATATTTTGTTCGTGGAATGATCCGTCTCGACGGACACGGGCGGAATTTCGGAATGTGCCAAGTGTGGCGAATCGAAATTTTGAATGGTTTCCTCCGCTATTCTCTGCCAAGTAGGTATACCTACCTAAGTGAATTTTATACAAAATAGTGTGTATAATACCTATGCTCTTTCACAACGGGGATACAAGGAAAGTGACTGCGTAAAAAAGCATTAAAATGTTTTAAATAAGGTACTTATAAGGTTCGGATTTCTTACATGTTACATCTTGGTAAGGCTTCGATTACAAGCAAATAACTTACTTCTTCCTAGAACAAAAAGAATGAAAAATCAGTAAAACAAACCAAACATTTATAATATACAAAAGTTTACAACTACTCCGAGATTTTGACATAATATTAAACATCTTATAACCCCCAACACGCGCTCGACTAATAAATAATCGCGCGTCGATTAATTAAAAATTCCTCGCGCAATTAAAGGCTGGTATTAAGCGACTTATTAATTACCGGGTACAGGCAGTTAGTATTGTTAACACTCGACGTGCTAATGGCGCATAGACGAAAGGATGGTAATGTAATGGCATAATGCCATAGGTATAGTTGAGGCGTGCATCAAACGCGAAAAGGAATGAATGAAATCTAGAAACAAAAGGAAAACCGTTTCCAGGACGGCGATCGCCGGCCGATTTCTATCGATAAAAACGGTCACGAACTCCTCGCCGTATAATCGCATGCGGAAACCGAATAATGAAGTTATTACAGAAATAGATATTGTATAGTTGAGTTGAATTCGATCGAAATGTATTGACGTCAATCAACTTTATAATGCACTTTATTTACCACTACTGGTAAATTTTTTAGCTCTTTAAAAAAGTTTCTAAAAAACAAACGATTTTTCGAACCAATTGTCTGTAATTTACCAGCATAAATTACAACTTTCCACGTTATTGTAAAATTAATTTATTTGCCGATACTAATTTATGCACTTCAAACCACAAAAGTCTATTAATAGCTCAATGCTCGGAGACTCTTGAGACGTTTTAATTTACAAAATTTAATATCTAATGTCATTTCTAAAAAAATATACAAACTCTTTAAAAACAAGTTTTTATCGAACAAACCACGCACCATGTTCTGTCTGTAAGTATAATGATTTATTTAATGCATTTATCTATTGAAAGGGACCCCACACGCGTTGATTCTATCATTTATAGGAACATCGATTAATTATTCACGAAAATAATCCAAACCGAAGTGCAATAACTTCTACAAACCGCTCAAGGATAAATTAATTTTCGACCTGAAATATGAATGTTTTGAAACATCTCAATTTACAGGATCCGAATCGTCGATCCGCAGTAAGATAAGCGAAGGATCGACAACGAGCCGGGCGACAAAAATCACCGAAATACCACCTGCTTGACAATAAAATATCACGTTTCTTATATGATTAATACCTATATGGAATTTTTCAACCGATATCAATTACCCATAACCACGATACCATTTTTAGAAATGCCACTAAATATCGTATAATTCAGATTGATTATAAAAGTTTCTTTTTGAAAACACATCTTTTTTGATTCCTTTGATCACCCTATAGATTCCCCGCTCGCAATAAAATCCATTCAGTAAAAGCGTAAGTATTTTTATAGACAAGCAGCAAAGTAAATAAAATTCCAACCCCTACACATCTCGACCCCAAAAGCAACTAATAAAAACGGGTTTCGCCGGTTTGATACACTCCTAATTTCAATTCCTGCCGTAACCCGATTTCGAGCAGGCCCGCACCGGACCCGACCAGCGCCCCGCTCGCGCTCCACCCGGCAGGAAAATCCCCGCCGGGCCCGGTCCTGCCGTCTAATATAAATTCAGGATGCGTTCCGGTTGTTATCGGGGTGTTCGCAGCCGCTGCGATAATTTAACCGCCCTCGCGCCGGCTCCTGCGGGGCATCTCCTCGCCGCTTATCGGCTTACTTAAGGGTCGCTTTAATATTGAAAACGTCATCGCTACACGCGTACTACATCCATTTACAGAATGAGAGCAACCCGGATTGCCGGATCATCATCGTCTTTAACCGCTTTCTATTAACTCAGTTTTCCCTCTCTGCGTAGAGGGTGCGCTTGTCGAGGGTTGATTCGTACTAATATATTGAAATTAATTTGGAAAATTATAATAAAGTGTTGAGTGTGTAAGGAGGTCGTTAAGTATTTTACAGACATTTCTAGTGTTTGATTTGAGTTTAATAATAATTATTATTATTGTATTGTGTGGTGAATACATAGAATTTTCTCGGTAATACAAATAAACGTCTATTCATTGCGGTAATGAATTTTGAAAACACGTCTATTGTATAATTTGTATTGGCGCATTTCTCACGAAATGGCAAATTGCCGTTTGTACAGGCGATGAACCCGAGGCGATGGCCGAAGGAAAATGTATAATAGCCGGGCATTAGTCGATCCTCCCGCGGATTGGAATAATAAAATATGTCGAAATGCGGCGCGGTAATTGTTTTCTTTTGCCTCCGCGTTCGAAATTAATAGATATCGTTTTCGGTGCACGTTCGATGTAGATGGGAATTTTCGCATTTTCCACGCCGGTTTATCGGAATCGCATTCCGATTTCCTTTATAATCTTCCCACGTATTTATTCATTTCACACTCACTTTCTTCAATAATAGGTATTATACAAATTTCCTCTTTATATACTTAATCGATAACATTTTATTTACAACGCGTAATAATTATAATTAGCTAGCGTTTAAATCTTTTTGTACAAACCGCGGACTACCGAAAGTAAATTCCCGAGCTAGGGTTTAGTTTACACATACACACGTATAGGAGGTCCATCGGCAAATTAATGTGCTTTATATCCTTAATTGGTGGCCAGACTTCGCGTTGTGTGGTCCTACTGTCTCGCTCTGGCGGCGGGCCGGGCGCGTAAGGCCGTCTCGCTCGCTCGCGTTGCCGGTATCCTCTACACGGTCGTGGACAAATATTAGATAAACGTCGGGCTAATGGGACCTTTTTGTTCAAACATAACCTTAATGATTTTTTGGCCGTTTTTTTTTTGTTTTCGTTATTCGTCTTTCGTTCGTTCTCATTAGGAAGTCGAACGACTATTTTTCTTAATTAGAGTTGTTTTTTTTAATAGGAGGGCGAGCGCATTTTTGCATAAAATTATTCAAATTAGAAACCACTTTCGGACATTTTTCGGATTGACGGGATGGCTTCGTTTTTCGGATAATTCGAAGTGAATTAAGACATATTGGTTCGTATACCACACAGGAATCGTTTTCGATAATTGGTTTTTTAATGGTGGGAATAAAATTCGGGGTATTTAAAGAATGGGGAATGCGCCGCCTCTGGTTCGAGTAAAATTAAAATCTAAGGTAATTAAGCGACAAAAGCAATAGACTTCGCTTCGCATTTGCCACAATTTTTTGTTACATTCTAATAAATGCGTGGAAAGGAAATACTGGTAGGTAATAAATAAAATATTAAGTAAAATTCCTGGCCGTAGAACGAAGGATAACCTTGCGTGTTTTTATCTAATAAATTTTATAGGTAATTTCATTAATACATACAACAAAAAATGCAAATTACTTTTACTAATATTGTTAGATGCTCGCTGTGAAAATATAAAAATTTTATTTTACTGCCGGCATAATGTTTGATTAAGTCGTTTTTTGTGATTGAATTATTGGCAGATCTTTTGATATCGTTAGAATTAACATAAAAAGTGCTTAAATTTCGTGTTTCAAAATTTCAATTCCAATAATAAAAACGCGAATCGTTCGACTCAAACCGAAAAAAAAATAAAGAAAAAATTATGTCGTTAATGTCGCGCCTTGATATTTCGATATGCATCGGTCTCCGAGAGAAAACGCCACACTTTTTCACCTGACGTGCCATTTCTTCGCACGAACAATACCATTTGATGGACGTGCATGTTTACCCGTATACGCGCGCATACGTTTTATTTCTGTCTAATTAAAAACATAATAGACAGCCTGGTAATTTAAGATATTATTACCACGTCCGCGGAGTATGATAAATCGGCGGTTTTTGTTTAAAATAAATATTATCCGGCCATGTTACCGATCAGTTAGAAAAAGCGTTTAACGAATTTCGAGAAAGCTTATTATATTTGCCACAACAGTTATTCGACGCTAATTTAATTATACTGCGACTTTCTAATAAAATTATTCGCCCACTTTAAAAATAGTTACTAAATTAAACCAAATACCAATATCGATATTATCGATATTCGACCGTGATTTCACATCAAAATTTGATCACTGACAAATAACAGATGTCACCTGTCACATTTATATAATTCTTTAGCATACTTGA